CGTATTTTTTTATTGTCTAAAAGGATGCCAATTGTAGTCATGAACACGCATAAAAATACCGCACCGCGAAAAATATTTCCCACGCGCGCGCGCGCTTTTTTATTTTTGGCGGTTTTCTCTCCCGCTCATCTCCGCGCTTCTCTTGACTTGGGACGTCAATACTCATAAAATTTAGCGTCTTTGTAGGCGAAATTTCTATAACATTTAATAATGGCAATCGTAGAACATTTTAAACGCAATTGCGAACGTACTACCGCCCTTCTTTTTGAAATGCTTAAAATCTGAGTCCGGTGTGATGTCGCCTCCTGGATTTGTATCCTCCCTCGGAAAACATGCCGGCGCTCGATGCACATAGCAGAGGGTGATCGGTGAGTCGGGGAATCGGACGAAGTGGTATTTTTTAGGTGTCCGACAACCCTCTCAGACTTGGAAAAGGAAATCGTCAAATAGTAGTTTCGGATATTAGTCCGCCGGGGCAGCCTTTCAGGCGTCAAGCGTCGTCTGCTCGCCGTGATAGGCAGGCGGCACGGCGCACACGGAGGAAACCAAGCCGGCTTTTTTTCCGGTAAAACTACGCCTTTCTCTTAACTTCTCACCTCCTCGCTTCGGGTCGCGATGGCAACGGCTGGTTTGGAGCGGAAGCGTGAAAGAATGTCAACTCGCAGGACTCTGCAATATTTGACGTCATCACACTGGCGCGGATCGCGCGGGAACTTCAAACTCGCCATTGGGAAAATGTTATTTTACTTCAAAAGTACTGAATTCCCAAGTTTCGATTATTGAGGGTAATGTCCGGGCATGCTCTTGAATCGTTTCGGATAAGAAAAAAAATATGATTTTGATGAGTCAGTGCCTTTTTAAAGCCTTTTTGAGCATTGGAAGAAACGTCTTGACAAGTGTACTCGACAAGTGAATGTGGGAAGAGGGTAGGCCCTATTACACCCATGTGTTTCAGCCTATGTATGTGACCCTTTTTCTCGGGATCTGCTAGGGTTAGAGGATTCATGTTGGTATCATTGTATTTAGCTTTCTGAGTTCTCTTTACTGAACTAGAATTATTGTTATATATATTTTAGTTATTTTTTTTGTTTTTGTTTTTACTAGACCCTCCTAATTTTAATGCCATAATAGACAATAAACAGCTTGTCAAACAAAATTGCCTTGATTAATTTCCATAATTCTAGTTCAGTAAACTCCCCCTTGTGTTGTCTTGTTAGTAGAAAAAAATAATACTTCTAGTGTTTATGGTTTCAGAGAAAAAGGGTCAAACGTCGCCAAAAACTTACGTTTTCAGATAATTGACTTTGAAGTGAAAAAAGGCGTTTTATAATATACTTGCACTCTAGATATGCCTGCTGATGTGTCAGTTCGGTAGCTACCAGACAGGTTGTCACCTCCATAGTCAATATTTAGTTTCTTTGTTTGCTGTCTTGCTTTGTGGGCCTCTTTTGTGACGAGCTGTGTAGCCCTGTCTGCAAAGTAAAGTCGTTGCCGGTCAATGTCCCGCAACCACTGCACCGTGAATCATCCTGGTGAAACACGAAGTAGAGGCCCGATGTTGTCCGTTCTGACGTCTCTCTAATTGGTGGGTTCAACAGCACTTTTCACAGTTCAGAAAGTAGGTGCAGGCGACGCCAGCTCTTAGTGCTGCTTTTTCAACCAACCGCAAGTCCCCACCGCACACTTTACACAGCCAGCTTTCGGCGACGCTATAGCACAGGAGGTCGATGTCAATCAGTTCATAGCTGCAGTCACTAACACTTGCCTTCAGCTCTTCAAAGCGTGCTGCCGTGTGCGACAGCTTCGAAGAAGACGCACACGTGGTAGCCGCTGCGTCAGGCATCAGAATGCGTTGCGGGGACTCGGCGGCATGAGACATTGACCTATGCCGAATACCCTGGAAGCGACGCTTTTGAGATACCTTCCTCGTCTTCGTCATTTGAATAAAATTCCAAATCTAGTGTTTATGTAAACAATAAATTACCTTGCCCGTGCAAGCATGCCGAAGCAGAAGCAAAAGTACGCGCGTCGCGACCGATACCGGCAGTGTCTGAGGATTTATGGGGCTAAAAAACTAAAGGCTAGACAGGTTTTTGCTGTTGCTGGACGAGCAATAAACATTCCGCTAAACCTAGAGAAAACCTGCGTTTTTTTTACTGTTTTTCTTTTACAACATAGAAGAGATACAGATCAGGCATAGATGAAAGGGGGCGTGGTCGGTCACCACCTAGGTTTTGGAAAAGGTCATTTTTCGTGTAACTAAATCGCGCACGCGCAAATTACACAGTCAGCATTGTTCGGGAAAGACTGGGAAATCCAAATTCCTAAAAAACGAAAATTCAATATTTTTCAAAATTTTGCCCTACCCTGTTCTCATAAAGCATTTTGAGCATTGGAAGAAACGTCTCGACAAGTGTACTCGACAAGTGAGTGTAGTACATTGCAGGAGACAATTTTAAGGTGTAAAAATAAATACACGATTCTGTGAAAATAAATTAATGTTTTATTTGTGTTCCTCAGATATATAACTTGCGCCTTCACGTAATAACACCGTGTTGGTGGTGATTCCTTGTTCTTGTATAGAAAAACATATCCGGTGGTGCAAAATAAATGTTAAAAAAACTGCGCACTCAAAAACGAAGCAACTACATGTCCATTGGTCTGACACCCGTGGAAGTTATGTATGGAACTGTCTCTGATTTCCGACTGTCTTTCAAGTTGGAACAAGTTAGAACCATTGGAACTTTGCTTGTCACCACAACAATGGCTGATAATCATGTGCGCTTGTTCTCCGCGACACTTGTCTTAGTTTTCATTTGTGTAGTTATATGGATAATTAAGTCGCTCGCAAAACTATCCTCTCGGCCGCATGTCCCTGCCCCGGCGGTGTTCGTCGCATGAAGTTTGGTGAGGACGAATACTAGGCAGTACGTTGTAACAAAGTTTGCAGGCTTGAATTTTGATGCTAAACTTCGCTTCATGGAATTAGGTATTTAGACCTGAATATATATATTGACTTCTGTCCGTTCATCTACGATTCTCGGTCATAGGCAGAGAACGTCGCCTGGTAGGTGACATTTACAGAGTTCATACATATCCGCGTGTTTCCTCGTTTTCTGAAGTAAAAAACATGCACGTACTTCGCCATGAGGATTTGCCACACGGTTGCACGACCTTTTCAGCCAAGCTAAATCACACTGACGGTGCTTAGTTCGTCAGCGGCGTCACATGCGCCACTGCGTGAGGCGCGCGCCTCGCGTGGCCCCTCGGAAGGGGGTACCAGTGAAAGCAGGTGTTTGGAGAGTGACGTCACCACGGACCCCGGGCTTCGCAGGGGACGCCTGCAACTTAGGTGGTAGGTGCTTAGTGAGTAGCGTCACCACGGACCCCAGCCACGCGGGCCACCATACTCGCACGCTTGGTGAGTGACGTCCCTGCGAACCCCGAGCCATGTTGGTTCGCCCACCCACGCCTCGCTGAGCGTGGCTCAGTCCGCGTCCGGGGATAAGGGATCCTGGTGGTTGAGCTGAGCCCGGGGTACGTTTGGACTCTTGGGGGCCCCCCGGCCCTAGTCAAAAATCATTTTGTATGAGAAACTGCCTGTGGCCAGTAAACACAGATAAATGATACAAAGTATATAATAACATATGAGAGCAATATAAGAAACTTATAAGAAACTTCTCGCAAGTTTCTTATATGGTTCTTATTTGCTCTTATAAATCTTCTATGGTCCTTATAGAGTTCTTAGATGGTTCCTATATGGTTCTTATACATATTACATAGTTCATGTGTTGTTATTGAACCTTCTCAATATCAAGATCTAATTAAGTAGGCCCGAAACCATTCCCTGGCAGTTCCGTGGAATCTTGGGACCAGTGAATACAGTGAACCACCAGAAATCCTTAAAAGTTGATGGCCGCCTGTCTATCCTGGTGGGCTGACGCCAAGAAAAATACTTTCCCGGTAGTTCCGTGGAATTTCGGAGCCCAGGATATACAGTGGAGCTCCAGGCTGGCAGCTGACCGAATTCACTGGGTGTCCCAGGTTTAGTCTATTACAGCCGAGGCCAGATGCTGGCCACAGCTAGCCCATGCAAGTGAGCTGACTCGCTCGCTTGCCCCTTCCATTTCCTGCGCCGTCGTCCAAGATCTCCCGACTGGAGTAGCAAAACTTGGCATGAAATAAAATTCCTGCTATGAGTATTCTAAACATCCATCCAAATAGAATAGCAACGCTTTAAAAGAAACATCGGTGGAGAGCTATTATCGAATGCGTGTTTTCCACGATGGCTTTGCTTCGGCGTCCAGACAAAGCAGACTTGCCAAACCCTAAAAAAAACTTTAAAAAAAACGTGGTTTACGGTTGTCATGAAATGATCGCCAATTAAAGTGCAAACAAGCGCTACTACACGGTAGATGCGCTGCAACTCAGAATAGAAATGGCGTCTTACAATTTTAAAGCCTTTCAGGGAGCAATGTTGTACTTCCAGGCAAATATTACGGCCGCTATCAGCGGCATTTTCAGGGTTCTCCGTACCGTCCGGAATGGCATATGTATGAGCGCTCCCTAAATAGTGCCCTTTCGCACACCGCTCCTTATCCCTATTTTTCCGCTACCTGATGGTTTATTGTTACAACGCATGAGGCGCACGTTTTCCCCTCTCTAGGAGGCTACGGCTTCGAAATCGTGGTTAATGTTGGGTATGCGTTTTGCGGTACGGAAAATATTCAACGATATTTATTTTTACTCATTTGTACTGGTTACGTAAGTTCTCTGAGAACTAGTAAATCATCTTTAATTGCAATCATGTTGCTTGTCTGATTTTGTTTGTGTTATATAGAGACATGTAAATATTTATTAAAACGGTGACGTGATCATATTCCTCAGAAATTGGTGTGATATTCTGTGGTGGCGTTCAAACGCGCTCCTGTGCAATTGGCGTGAGACTAAAGTATTTTACGTCCTTCTCTTTGCAACTTCGTTGGTGTTTGTGTGCACAGAGATCGACTACGAGTTTCTAAAAGGCCAGACAGGAAACAGCAAGTTGATGTTCACTCTCCCACAAGGCTCCTCACGATCGCCCAATGTTACACTGTATACTAGGAGACAAATCGTGAATCAGCAGACCTTCAAAAACACTGCCCGACTGCTGTATACAGATATGAATGTTCGAGGTTTTGGGATCTTGCACTTTCAATACGGCTCACCCACTACAATAAGAAACTGTGCTCCAAACCTCCTTGCCTTGTATCAGGTATGTATATATCTATATCTATATATCTATATACAATTATACCCTACGCCTCGTAATGCTCAGTCTAAGATTTATAATTTATAATATACGAAAGTATACTTAAGTATGTCTATGACTATAAAACAAGAAAGCTTAACAAGCGGATTGAATAATAATATAAGGAACGTTAGACACAAAAACATTGAACTGAAACTATAAAATCTTATTTAGGCTTCAGTTTAATGTCTTGCGGGAATGATTTCGCAGATCAGCAATAAAAAAGGCTCTAACAGATTTTCGACAAAAAAAAAAAAAAAAGCTTGAACCTGACATTATTTCTTTCTGGCCGGAAACGCTACGCTCCGCGATGGTACGCCGTCTGTGAATGCGCGATCGGCGCCGTTGCACTCGAACATAAACAGCTTGGTAATTTATCGCAATTCATTGCAAGTTAACCAAGAGTCGTCGCGCACTCTCCCAAACACAAGGTAAACAAAGGAGAACCACATATATTCTACTCCCCCTGTTAAGGACCTGAACTAGGCCTGTTAAGGGCTAGTTTCCCCAGGATCATGTCCCCCGCAAAGAAATGTCGACACAAAACTCTGGTTGCCGCCGTCGCTCCCAGATGGCGGTAGCTGTCAAGAGTGTAGTGTTTGCCGGTTGTCCGGTTGCCGTCGTCGCTCATAGATCGCGGCAAAATTTCTTCGGGGGAAGAAGAGCGAGAACGGAATGAGCGGCGAAGTGCGCAGCAGCGCGAATGGTTTCATAACCGCCGCGAGGCTGCTATCGCCTAAAGTTCCACTGCGTCGAACGCTTCAGATTTTCTCGCGAAAGACGAGCAGATCGCTCGCCTGGAAAGCCACCGTCGAAAACAGAAGGTACAGCTCCGCTGGTCTTCCTTCTTCACCAGAGCGGAAAGGCTGAATTTTTTTTAATACACTTTTTGAAGTCACATTGTGCGACATTTATTTATTTATTTATTTATTTCAGATACCCTCAGGGCCAAAGGCATTAGAGAGGGGAGTGGGTACAATGTATAAGTATAAAGTTAAAAAATGCAGTGGTTATTAGTACAGTAAATTGACTCTTATTTATACAATGTTAGCTATGGCGTTCTTGAACTGCTGGGGATCTTTGATTGTTGCTGTCGGGGCGGGAAGGCCATTCCACTCCACTGATGTGCGAGGAAAGAATGACTGAAAAAAAGCATTAGTTCTACACGATGGAATCCCGACTTTATGAACATGATCTAATCTAGATGAGATGTATTGGGGGGGTAAAATATGTTCGGCGCGCAAGGAGGGATGAAGAAACAGTTTGTGAAAGAGACAAAGACGAGAGATTTTGCGGCGGGATGTTAGGGATGGCAGATCAAGGTTAGATTTCATTGTACTGATGCTTGCAGTTCTATTATAGTTAATAGAACTGCAAGTTCATTATAGTTAATAGAACTAATAGAATTATAGTTAATTGACATATGGGTGGTGCTGAAAACATATTTTATTATTATCCAGACCTCTGTTCCTTTTTTTTAACCAGGCAAGGGGGACGCTCTACTATGCAAGTAGGGGTTATGGACAGAACAACGACGCTGCTCGGGCGGTGTCAACAATAAAAGCTCGTTTTTAATACAGCGTGGTGGAACTACCTCTTCGCATATAAAATATATAAATGCACATATATGCATGCCGCGGTTAAAAAAAAGAAAACACAGGCGAACCTGCGAATGACGTCCATAACAAACCCAAAACAGAGGGGGAAAAAAGACGACAGATAAATTGTTTGGTGTTACATTGTATTTTTTCCTATTTTTCCTTTTTCTCGGGTTTACCCTGGTTACTACCGGTACTTTCTGTCTATAAAGCAAATGAGTAAATTTAGAGCAACTTTCCCTCCTTTTTAAGCAACGTTAAGCATCATAACGCGCCAAATATTTCATAGAACAAGCGTGACATTTCATGCCAGCCAAGTACCAGTGTAGCTGTCCCCTCAAGCAGGCAGTTTTGGTTTTTAAGAAAACCGTCGACGCAGCAGTAAAACACAGCACCCATTAACCTCTACACGATGCAAATATATCTTAAAAAAAGGCATAAATAATATTAACAATGCAACAGCGCGGAAATCAGAAAATGCCATGGAATTACTCTAGGCTGATCAATGCTGATTCTTGGGCGAGATAATGCTGAATCTTTCAAAACATGGACGCTGTAATACAAAGATCTTGCGGATAAAAGACACAGTTTGAGCGGGCACCACCGGGGTACGGAATTGCTTGACTGGCGAAATAGCCCAGAGGATATGTCCCCGAGTATTTTTAAGGATTAAACTATCGAAGGCAGCACATTTGTTGTCTGGTTCTTTCTCCTTTCCGTCTTTATCAGAGTGACAATGCTTTAAATAAGCGAAAGCTAACTATTTCTCTGAACGCCAACATTAAGTTCCCATGTTTAGTTTGCATTTTATTATTTTGTTTTTGTTTTTATTTTGCCCTTGTTTAATGGAGTCTCACTGTATTACGCTGATGCTGTAGTGATCTGTGCCAAAGGGCTTAAGAAGAAAATTATTGGCGTTTAGTATATTTGGGGCATTATTTACTTTTTTCTAATCAAGCTTGTCATTATTATTTTAAAGGCATTGTTTAAGTTAGAAAGTTGTCGGGAAATGTCGTACAATTTTTATGCGGGATGCACCCGCCTTAGAATTATATAAGGTATGGGCAGCATTTTAATGCGCTTCGAAAAAAAATCTCAATTTAAGCGCATTACTAAGAGTCAGCCTTTTTTTTTATCAGAGCACATTTTTGTTTACGGCAATCCCTGTCTCCGTTGCAAAAAAGGCGAACGGACGCGCCGTTTCCATCGCACGTAGAAGAGGCCTCTGGACTGCCGAATGAGATTTACCTTTGTGACGTCGGTGGCACTCTGAAGACCAGGGTGTAAGATAGACAGGTGGGGAAACGGCGCATAGAAGCCTACCGCAGCGCCGTGACCGGATTGTGTACTCGTCTGCTTGCGGGTACCTCCGACTTGCGACAGATGGCGCTGCGGCGAGAGGAAAAAAATTGGAATCGAATTTGCATGGAAATTTATGGGAGAGTGCGCAAAATAAACCAAGAGGACGACATTCCTTTATTGAAAATCCACGAGAAATTATCTCCGTCAGCTTAGCCGGTCGCCACCGGTCGCCTACCCGGAATGAGAGTTAGCGGTGCTCCACATAGATGGCGCCACAGAAAAAGAGAAAACCGAAGGGGACACAATCCGGTCGCTCATTTGGCTCTCGTTTCCCCACCTGTCTATCTTACACCCTGCTGAAGACTGACCTTTACGTGCGATGCGTGGAGGCGCACGCACGTTACGGATTTTGGCCACAGGGGTTGTGTGGTGGACGTTGAGGTGTGCCCCTGTAAGAAACCGAAACATTAAAACGCGTCAAAATGGGCAATTCTTAGGAGCGCCATAAAATGCTCCAAGTGTCCGATGCCATTATAATGTGGGTGGATTTATTAGTTTAAGCTGATATGCATGGAATTCCCTATTGATAGCATACCTTTAGAGTTATTTACAACTTTATTCAATAAACCGCAATTAATCACTGATTTATGGTGAACACTAATAATGTTCGTTGATGGGCCCCTTTTTGACAAAGACCACTACGTCATCAAATATTTTCTTTGCGAGAGTAGTCTTTCAAAAGCGATTTTGCCACCGCTTCTAAGAACACACTGTATATTTGATAGTGTCTTAACATACTAACATTCGCAGCTTAACTAAAACTCCTTACCATTGTAAAACCGAGAGTGCGAACAAAACTTGGCACTCTCCAGTGTTTTGGGGATATTGTCACGAATGACAAATGATGAGGCCCCGAATAACTGAAGAAACTAAACAAAATGTGGCAAACTTGCGCCCAAAACAAAATATAAAAAGGTTAGTGTCGCAGGCGTCGATGTCCGCGAAACAGCAGCATCGACGATGGGGCGAGACGAACTCCGGTTTGACACGCCGAGCTACTTATGCCCACGTGTGCGCTTCTGAAACAGTCAGCGTAGAAGGTTGGGCACGTAGACAATTAGGACCTCGAATAAGCAACAGAATTCTCAAATACACGAAAACTCGAGACAAAAAATGCGTCTGCTCCCAGGCATCGAAACTCGGACCTTTACGTGGGAGCCAAGCACCAAAAACCATTCGGCCACGGGCGCGCTGCCTACTTGACTGGCTTAAGGTGCCTAGATAGAGGCTTCCTACAAGTGGCGACATTCTTTGAAGCGCCGGATGCGTGACGGTGCAGGTTTTAGGAAGCGAATGGTGGCACCCAGCATAGGTTTGAACTGAATGCCGCCATTTTTGTTCCAGTGGAATGTGCTTTGTCAGTTATATTGGTTCTCGTTACTTGTAAAAGAAGTATCAAGCGGCTTTAGGCTGGCTGTGCGCGCGGCATTACTCCATCTTTAAAACGTGCATCACCTCAATGCAACACAAAACAAATAAAGCAAATAAAAAGAACGGTTAACATAACAGTCATTTACAGCTCATGAAGTCCACAATCCTATAGAGGATAGAATCACTTCAGTCGAACGACGTGAACCACCACGGGTCGCCGACGGCGCCGCGATGATACCTGCTTTTCGTCGGGCACCACTTCGTAGTCGAGATATCACTAGGCGTCGAAGGACCTTTTTATGGTTCAAAGTAACACCTTATAAGCTTCTCGCTGGGGCCGTGACGTAGTATAGTTGTCCGCACCCACACCCGGTGTCCAGGCTGGAAGTGAACGTCCAGTGACAAAGGCTGTGGTGGCCAGCGTTGTCACACGTTGCTGTTCTTTGACCCGGACTGGGCCGAGCTGCCGGATTTCTTCTGCTGGTTGCGGAACGCCCCGGCCCGCGTCACTTCCGTCGCCAGCTGGCTGATGAGGTAGCATGGTGTCAAGCAGCGTGGTCACCTTGCGACCATGCGCCAGCTGGAATGGTGTAACACTAGTGGAATTTTGAACCGTTGCGCTGAAGGCCAACG